ATTCAAAGTTGTATATGGTTGTAGTTGATACTTATAGTAAATGGATAGAAGTAGAGGAGGTCAGTTCCACATCTGCCAAAGTAGTCATAAATAAATTGAGACCTATGTTTGCAAGGTTTGGAATTCCGGAACAGTGTGTCACAGACAATGGCCCTCCTTTTACATCCTGTGAATTTAGCAAGTTTCTTAAAGCTAATGGGGTTAGGCACACGCTGACACCACCTTACTTTCCCGCTAGTAATGGCCAGGCGGAAAATGCTGTAAAAACAGTAAAGAAAAGAATAAGAGGGGCTTTGTTTTCAAATCAAAATCCAGACTTAGCTTTAAGTAGATTTTTGTTGGCATATCGAAATGCAGTACATAATACAACCAATGAAACTCCAGCCAAACTAATGTTCGGTAGAGTATTGCGAACTACATTAGATTTTATACGTCCTTCTGTTAGTAAAACGGTTTTGTCAAACCAAAACAAACAAATTGTAAACAAAGGGGGAAGTCAAACTAGAGAACTGTCAATAGGACAGCCTGTTTTAGTTCGTGATTACAGGGGAAGAAATAAATGGACACAAGGTGTAGTGATTAAAGTGTTAAGTCCTGTATCTTATTTAGTAAAATTAGACTCAGGTATTGTATGGAAACGCCATATTGACCAGCTGGTCAGGTTAAACACTAAGGTAAATTTGAATGATCAACAGAATGATATTACTAGAGAGGTAGTGTTGCCTCCAGCTGAACATATGTTTGACCAGGATGTTGGTAACAATGCTCAGTCAGCTGGTCGGGCTTCACCCATGAGACCGGAAATGCCGAGTACACCTCGTACTCCAGGACGTAGTAAACGTAGTAGTACGCGCTCATCGCTTACTCCACCGGACGTGACCTTTACATCACCTGTACGATCAGCTGATCGACCCAAACAAGCATCGCCATTGAGGCGATCTGCCAGAGAAATAAAACCTCCTGAAAGTTTGAATTTGTAAATATTTATTTCTGTGTTTTGTTTCCAATTTTATCAAGGTTGTTTTGTTTTAATGTTTATTGTTTTGTATTATTTGATTGAGTCATACAATATTGTTTTATAAAAGTGTTTTTGTTTTAGGCTACTTAATGATTATTTAATTGGTTTGATGTGTTGATAAAATTGCGTATTTTAAGAAAAAAATATTTTAAACTTAAAGGGGAGGAAATGTAGTGTATACAATAATAATGTACCATAATGTTGCCATTTTTACGATATTTAGATTTGTGTTAGAAAGAGTTGGCAATATGTTTTGCATTTGTGTCCTGACTGCGATCAGGCGACTGTGACGTCATATCGTATGATTTCAATAAAGCTCCCGGATTGGCTACAACCCATCACGCCACTATTCCCTCCACGTTTAACCGCCGTTCCAAAAGTTTCCTTGCTGACCAGTCCTCAAGATTCCAACAAACCGTAAACATGTAGTCGGCCGGGTTTTATTTAATTCCCCAAATGGTGTTTTTATTTCAAGTCATTGCACCCCAAACGTTCCACTAACTTTCAAATAGTACCTATTTTTATTTCTTCCAGAAAAGTAACACACATAACAAAAGTAATTATTACTGGAATTCTCTCAAGAAGGGCACAGCGCGAGAGAGTAATTTATAATTCACAGTAGTAAGCAGAGCGGGGCGCGGGCATTGTTCGTTGTGGGGTGCAGAGTAATGTCTACACCTGGGCAATATCAAACCTTAGCCCAACATATGAGGGCTGCTGCGTATATCTTGGAGAGTTTATATACCTCTGTACTAATTAAACGCGTCTATACACTTCAGTGGCATGACGGTGTTTTGCACTTAAATTATTCGAAGAAATTTGACGTAAGGTTGTTTTAGAAGATTTTTGTGTCACACCAGGGTTATAGGAAGAAGAGTTCTTGGTGTAGATTCCTTACCTCGAGTAGTAAAAGGCATAGATTAAATTAAGGATTTAAAAATCAATAATCTGTAACATATTAAATTGCGGTTTAATTTAAGTTTAGGACGAAATATATGATTTAGGCCCGGTTTCCCCAAAATGGTGTAAACTTCGTTTATAATAAACTAGTTTATTTTTAAACTCCGTTTAAAATGTGTGTTCGGTTTCTCCGACATTTTACTGGCTTCGTTTAAGATAAACGGCAATTCGAGCGGTTGGCAGTCCTGAATGTGTTTTGTAAAGAATCTTCGGTGGGCTTTGGGCTAGTGTTTCTTACAACGCTCGCTGCGCTACGCTACAACTCGGTAGAGCAGACGAGCAAAGTGCGAATCATGAATCATCACTGTTTAAGGTTATGTTATGTTATAAAGATGATTTTTCTTTTACAACAAGAAGAATTCTGTCCTTTATTTTAGTAGGCCCTCTTGTTCTTGGTATCAAAGTATTATAATCTTCATAATTCAGCTTCTTCGAAAATGTCAATTAACTCTTCCATTTGAGTTAATGCAAATACTGCAATTAATAGTAGCCTAACTTGCAAAAAAATAAATTTACGAATAAAAAGAACTTAATAAACAAAATAAATTAAAATATAAATAAAACATTACTTAATTATAGGCCTTTACTATATAAGCTAGCCCTAAGCCAAGCCTATTTTCGTCCAAATAAATTTGTTGATGCTTCAATTATTAACCTACCTATTGTTTTGGAATTATTTGAGGTTATGTTACTATTTGAACTCAGTTTATTTTATCTCCAGTAGTTAAACCAAGTCGAGAGGTGGTTTAGTTTGAACTTAGATTAATACCTAGTTTAAATTTGGAGAAACACAAATCAAAGTTAAACTAAGTTTAAATCACCGTTTAACTTAAAACTAAGTTTAAATGAGTTGGGGAAACCGGGCCTTACTTACACGTTCCGTTTTTTTATCAGACCTTAGCTTTAAAAAAAGGCCTGAGTGTTTCTTAGGATATCTTAATATTAAAGTAGAGTATGCTCTACTTCCAGTAGGCTCTGAAGTTGTTGGATAGGAACAATCGTAGGTCAGCGGTCACATTTTTAGTTGAAAACATAAAGCTTCATTTCGTTATATTTTGCCAAACAAATGTTTAAGAATTAAACAAAATAGATGTTAAACAATAAGCAAGAGCCACTAAAAATTTAGAATAAAATAGTTTATAAAAACTAAAATAAAACATGTTTCCTTTGAAACTCGGTGCTAAACCTTTATTTATTGCAATAACATTACTCAAGGCTGATACGCCAGGAGACGACATTGATATATGGGTATCATAACCAAATCATATGGTTTTACTGAAGCCAATCCACTATATACCTACAGCCTTACATATTACTGAGCGGAAAATAATCATTCAACATTAAAATAAAACATAATGGTTTGAATAAATGAACTATTAAGAAATTTGTAACGTTTGAATATTTTTGTGCAATAACCATATTATATTTGTATATTATGTTAAGTTATGTTAACCTGATTTACTGTGTAAAACATTTAATATTTACTGAGAGACGCTCGGAAACAAAAGTATTTTTATTTAATTGATTTATTTATGAATTATAAGTATACTAAAGAAATAATATATGAAAAATGTGTGTGTGGTTCCTATGTAAACGATAACATGCAAAGGAGAAATGTTGTAGGTTGAAATACAAGTAAAACTGACCAATTAGTATATATTAGTAGTATACTGTCTTAACAACTCATGAAATTGTAGCTTTAAGTTTTTGGTGGCAAAACAACTTGGGGGAAAATGTAGAAAAGTTATGTTAAATAATTGTAATAACATTTCATTTGACATAAATATACAGCAAATTTAAATTAATCAGCTTACCTATGTAAAAATAATAAATTGCTTATTCCACATTTTAAAATTATTGGCTAAGAATACATTTAGAAACAAACTATTAAACTTACTCGCTAGACGTGGTTGTAACTGGTTATAACGAAAAACACTATATTTTAAGGTCCACCCTACTGCGATGTTTGTATTTAGTATATTGATGTTGTTTGTATTCAAGCAGCTTGTTCATAATGTGAACCATCAAAGGGTATTCAAACCCAATAAGAGAACAAATGTTTACTTAATTTATTATATTACCTCCCCAAAATTATCTTAATAATAATGTAAATCATTAGGCTCAGTTTCAAGTTTCATGGACGTATCTGAAAGTTTAAATAATTGTTTAAAAATTTATTCGCTAGCCTAGTTCAATGGGGCGTTTCATATCGAGACTAATGTGTACAAAACGGCGGGAGTGTCTGTGACGTGTCGACATTTTGGCGGGTAATTGAGTGGCAACATCCCACCCTCCACACCCATCAGCTGTTTCGCGCCCTCTGGCTCAATCTCAGGCTTAATCTCAAGAATGTGGTGCGCTCTAGTGATAAACCCGGCTAACTTAGATACGTAACCTGAGGGAATGTCTTAGTTAAGCTTTACAACTGCAACAATTAAATGCCAATCCACTTTAATTTCATTAGCGAGATTGGAAAAACGTATCACCTAAGTTGAGCATTTATTGATATGAAACAATGGTAATTTTTTTTTGTAGGTTGGAATTTTTTATTAGTGTTAAAAGTGAATATTTAAACTCAATTTGGTAAAAAGTGAACAGAAATTTTTCTCTTAAAAACAAATTAAAGTATTTTTTTAGATTAATTTTTGAGCAGTAAATTAACTTACTGAAAACTCGAACCAACAATAACGAACAACGGCTTAATAAACAAATAAAGAAATTCTCAGCATGAATTAAGACTTAATTTAAAAAGACAATACTAGCAGTTTATGAAAATCATAAAATCATCGTACACAATTTTATGGAAATAATAAATTACAAAATAAACAATTGCGTGCACCTTGATCACGCCTATTATCTTTATGGAATAAATCGTAGCAAGATATTCAAGGGTTTTACAAGAATGATCTATTTTAATCTGAAAATTGATAATAAATATATATAAATAAAAAAAAACACGTAGATTGCCATCTGAAACCTTATAAGTACACATTCATGCATGGAATTTCGACTATGTACTCACCTGTCGTAGTAATAATCCCTGCAACAGAAAAATATTACAAATTTAAAATATAACAATAATGTAAGTAATGTGCGTTTTATAATTTATAGTAATACTTAGAGGAAATATTTTATATTTACGAACAAAATTAAATCATGTCATTTTGATATGAATTTGAGAGACTGTGTTCTTTAGTGTAAAAAAATTAGAAGTTTTTTTTAGGCAATCGGATCATGAATATGTAAATTCGATAATGATTTTTCTCAAATACAATCATGCACACACATTCTGTAATAGGATAAACATTTCAGTGCCATTCATTGTTTTATTATTTACTCACATTTTGTAACGAACGAAGGTGACATTTCTGTCATTATAATTCAAGCTGCATTCTCTTCATTCGTTGATATTCCTATGTGAACGCTTTTCTCGTTCTTCCTCCATTAAACTTTTCCCATTTGCGTGATTTACAACCATTAAAATTGACAGTGAAACTTGTAAACGAATTATTTTCTATTTTACGCGAAAACTTTAGTGATTGAACAACTGCCAACACTTACTTTGTTTTCTAAAGATACCCAAGTCACTGTTTTTGTGCAAAAACAATTTTTATTAATAAGTCAAATTATTGTTACATAAAATGTTAGAAATATTTGAAAATGTTACAAGCTATACTACGAAAAGGTAAGCGGTAGTGGGCCTATCGATGATGTTTGAGACTTTATAGGCTTACCGTCAGTAGTCCAAAATTGTGTCTTATATCAACTAATGTTCAAAGCTGACATGTTTTGTTGCACTGCAACATCGTCGGAGCTTTACGTCAAAAACATCAAATAATTTAAGAATAAAATACAACACGGGACACGGAACATTTAAACACGAAATAACACGATAGCGCTATCATGACACGGCACGGCAGCGGTTGTAGGTAGACTGCCTTTTATGTTTGGATTATTTGATGTTTTTTACGTAAAGCTCCGACGATGTTGCAGTGCAACAAAACATGTCAGCTTTGAACATTAGTTGAAATAAGACCCAATTTTGGACTACTGTCGGAGGTAAGCCTATAAAGTTATTATTCGTAGTCCAGGGGCTATCAGAATGAATAATATGATGTTTGAGATGTTAATAAAAATCAACAAAAAATATTGGAATCAGAACTATTGGAAGGTATACTGGGGAACCACACAGTTGTTAAACAATACCCGAATTTAATATGACTAATTAGGATTGCCGAATACATTAAGGTTCGCAAACAGAACAGTTGTTGGTGTACAATATACAATATGCGAGTCACGTGCCGTAGCCTGAGGAAACCAGCCCTTCTATACTGGTACCTCTGTCTGTATTAAGGGAAATGTAACATTTTAGAATCTATAACTATGTGCCGTGTGTCAATTATTATCGACAGTATACTATTTGAGTCATGTAGATATCACGTGTTAATATTAGCAACAGTGCAAAATATTTTACAAAGAACACTACCTATAAGTATATTAGAACAAAAGTATACATAGTAAATGAATACCCTAGGATCCAGATTTTGTCATATTCGTCCATGCAGCTATTCGATTCCTAGCTGTAACTGTTTGCAACTACTTGTCTCTGTTTGGTGGTTCTAATTTTTGCAGTGTTTACAAATTAACCTAGATACTTACTGTAGGTATACATAACAAAGGCTATCCAGAACGTGTTACAATAGTATAGCCAGATATGTAAATTATTTAATTTAACTTGACGATTGACAACAAAACTAGGCACCTTGAAGATTAGGAGATAAATGTTTTTACTAGACGTTTTCTTAACTGCTTAAACTGGCTATATATTTAAGAATGCGAAAAAAATACCATTGTTTAGCCCGAGATTAAACCTATTTATTTTAATAGTTTTACTTTTGCTAGCTCATTATTTAAAAACTGGCCCTGTTCCACATGAAACTCCGCCCGGTTGTAACTCACTTGCCGAATGAAAACTTAATACAACTCCACCACTAAAGGATTTGCCTTATAAATAATTTTACAAAAAATTATTTGGACAACAAAACAGAATACACGATGTGGCATTGAATAATGACACCATGTGACTTAGTGACGTCAAAGCCTCGTCTAATCAACGTCTGACAATACAATGTTAAGCCTTCAATACTCACTGCACGCGTGGCGAGTCCTTTGAAGATGAGATGGGACGAGGTATTGTACCAGTTCTATGATAGATGGAATCAGTTAACACTAACTGTTATCTAGTTATCAGTGGCACTATCGCCAGTTTCACTTCTACAGTTTACACCAACATTAGTATTATTAGTACTACCAATGTGTCAGTTTAAACCAATTACAGCTCCTCAGTTAACCCTAAAAACTCTGCATCTTGCACTGACAATGTACAGTGTAATGAATAAACCATCAGAATAGCGGACTCAAAAATAAAAATAAACATATAATCAATATGTGTATAAACTCATAAGGAGTGTAAATGTGTGACTTCTTCATTTTTTTTTAACTGTTCAACCACACCACCCCTAACTGCTTCAAATATTCAAGATACAAAATAGAAAAAAATTTAGGGTGTTAGATGCATCAATCTGTGGTCCGCTTTCTATTCCTTGGAATTTTGAATTTTCACAAAGGTGTCAATAGATGTAAAACTTTACAAATAGGCATCGGTCAATAAGGTACGTATTCTAACAAGGCCTTGGCGGGGTTTTGGCTCCTGTGTCCCAGATAGGGAGGTTACTTGGATGTAATGCCGTACATTCATCAACAGCTGGTATCCAGCCAACATCTGTCCATCTCTCCCATGTACCTACACACAAGATACTTACGTCCGATTTGGATTTTAGGGCTAAATCAATTCACGATTGTTAATGTAGACTAATAGTAGAGCTCTCGTTATGATCATTCGCTCATCGAAATTAAAAACAAATTAGAGAAAAAAACGGAACCAAAAAATTACTGAGAAATGGTGTTATTTAAAGATGAATAAGAAACCCACTCCTTAAATAAGTAATAAGAAGGAAGCCTAAGGGAAATCCTGGGGTGAAGAAGTTATTGCACAAACCCAATTAAGCATGATTCAATCAAATCAAAACCGTCTTGTCTTAGACGTTAAGGTTAAGAGGTTCCATTTTAAATATAAATTAGTTTTCAATTTCTGAGCATGATAGAATGCACCTACATAGTTTTATTTATGTAAGATACATATTTTTGTTATGTTTGGCAAAAGAAAAGCGTTGAAACTGTTATTGATTCCTGTGAAATGTTTTAAAATCTATTAAAATAATGTAAAGATTAGATAATTAAATATTTAATATCTTAATTATTGGTAAGATCGATTTTATGTTTTACTTATTGTGTCATAAATTCTGAGATGAAAAAAAGTAACTAAGATTGAAAAAGTAACCTTTTAAAATAAATTTTTAAAAACTTTAACATAAAGTCGTATTTAAATTTTCATAAATTCGAGTAGGGTAATGAATGTAAATAGTATGAACACACCTAGAACGAGGACATTTATTTACTAGTATGTACCAATATGGCGGTGCTCATATTTTATTCCACTTGGACATACAAATATGTTTTAATGCTATAAAAATAGAGTTACATTGTTTTTAAAAAATATCTCCATATTTTATCGTAGGTATCTCTACAAACAAAAGGCATGAATATCAAGTAAATAAGCGGGTTGATTCATGTTTTAGGTCAACTGTATGACAGTAAACCAAAAGCTAATTAAGAAACTTGCTAAAATTTTAAGACTTATAGTCTTTTATTGACATTTAATTTTTATTGCCTACTGCCATCAGATCAGTGACGGTAATTACAAGATCATATAACAGGTTATGACAGTTAAGAGATGAACCCATTATCAATACAAACTAACGGGCATTAAATAAATAGGAAAACAATAGTGTGAACTTATATAAATTAAACAATAAGCAAGGAAATAAATAGTCATCGTCACACCAATATAATAAACAAATGAAATAAGTAAAAAAAAAACTAAAAATATAGGTTTTGTAATTAAAATACGTTAATCCCGGGATTTCTAGGTATCGAAATCTGACTGGGATCCCGGGATTGAGACCTCTCGACAAGCACAGAGAGAGTGTTAGAGACAAGTGTTTAGAACATAAATTAATCAAAGGCTGGTTAATCGCCAAACATCTGACAACCTCTTGGCCTTTCGTGGAACTTGGCCTAACCTTTGACGGCGAAACAAATGGTTAGGATGTAATTTCGTCAAGCCTACATACATCGGATCATCTTTTGGCCTTCTGTAGGATTTTTCTCAAGAATGTGTGTCATGACGGGATCGTTAAGTTCCAGAAAGCTGGAACCCTACAGTGGTTGAAGATCCCTTTGTCCTCTTCAGTCAGGGAAAGGATTGCAGCTGCAGAAGGTGCCATGTTTGTTCGTTTGTTTTATTCAACTTGTTGTCTGTACTTATAACCGTTACGAATGGAACTAAAAGCATATTAGATTCATATCGGACAAGGAACTTGTCAGATACATGTATACATTTTTGTCTTCGATAGAATTTGGCCTCCATACATCTTTAGGGTTTAGGAGTGAGCAAATATCATGAATTCATCTAGGATTCGTCAACCTCTGCATGTGTAACCATATCCTAGCCTTTATTCGTATTGGGCTATTAACTCCAACTGTTGAGAATGAAACTCACGTTTTAGAATATGGATATATCTGGGAATGTTCAATCACAACATACATGTCAACCTCTTCATCTTCTTTGGAACTGGACATTCCTTGGATCTCTAATCATTGAAACCAAACAAATGTTTATGACGTAGAATTATTAGGATCGGTATATTACCACAAATAACCACGTATTAACTTTTCAAAGTCTTGGCCTCTCTATCACTTTTATCGTAGAGAATTAAAAACATGATAAGGCTACAAATGAATTAATGGTTTACTAATCCTTCCTCTCTAAACCTGAGCGAAGCATTTTTAAGGTACTGAGTCGTCCAGATAAAGATTAATAATCAGAAAGAGTTAGATATTGCTAACCTTTGGCACTGG